AGGAACGGATGCGGGTGATGTAGATCTGATGAAGAACTCTCTTGTGTTGGATCTCTCCTCCTCCTCTCTGAAATCCGTGTACCTTCAGTCTTCAATCCGGCAGGGCTTCGCCTAATCTCTAAAATTCCAGCTCTCCAAAAAATGAGGCCTAAGACTTGTATTTATAGGCTTGAGGGGTTGCGGAGCGGTTAAAACAATCTTAAGGCCCAAATCTGACTTGGAGACACCCTAGGGTGTCTACACTTGATCCGAGACACCCTAGGGTGTCTCGGCTTGGGCCGAGATACCCTAGGGTGTCTCGGCCTTGGCCGAGACACCCAAGGGTGTCTCGACCGTAGGGTGTCTCGTTGGTCCGAGACACTCCATTGAGGTGTATTCATCCGCTTCCGCTGTAAATTCTTCGTCCGAACTCGGATTTGAGTGATTCAAAATGCGTTGGAAAGCTGACGAGGAGTTCTATCAGCTCCGATGGTTAGATCATCTGTTGAACCAATGAGACACGAAGAGTATTATTCTTTTTTTAAACATCACGGGGCTCCTGATTAACCTGTACCTTCGTTAGTTCACGTAGTTCGTCGATTCACTTCAATCGTTCATCGACATTAATCGAACTCCTGTGAACCGGATAGTGACGTTCATCGTCGTTCCTTAACACCGAGCTGTTCGTGGAGACCTATAGGCAATTTTCGATGCCTACAATCACCTTCCTTCTCTGCCTCATCTTCCTTCCCTTCTTCTTCCTCTACGTCATTTTTTCTTTCTATTTGAGGCTGCATAAATGTCAAAATAATAACCAATTTAAATTCAGCAAATCTTTTCTCAATATCTTTTTCCTTATGTGAAACATAAAATAAGTTATTACCTCTTCTTTCTTTTGCCTGATTGTTTCTGTTCTGCATATATTTTCTCAGTTTCGGCCTTAATGGTCATCGTATCAACGCCGCGAGCAACAAGTTCTTGCTCATTGGCTTCATTCAACATCACCAATTTTTCATAAGCTTCATTCTACATTAACAATAAACTAATAGTGAGGAAATGTCACAAATAAGAAGATCACACATAATGTCATCAACATTACCTCTTTTTTGACTCGTTTCTTCCTCAAAGAATTTTCAGCCGTAACTTCCTCCTCTATTTTAGCCTTCATCTTTGTAGGCTTTTGCTTTATCTCCTCATGGACATACATCGGCATATCTTACTCCGGTAAGATGTGGATTGCGGCTTCTGATTTCTTCATAATCGTTATAGTCTGCAACGAACCCACCTTCTTACCCTCCAACGTCTAATTTGTCATTGGTGGCTTGGATTCATCTACTCTTGTCGGTTCCTTGATGTTTGAAATCTCATCATAGTACCATAGCTTCAAAAAAGTCACATTCAAACAATAAAGTATAACATATTAGATACAAATGTCACAGATAAATGGCAATAATCACATACAAGAAGATAATATCACACATTAACTACCAATGTCACGTATCAGGGACAAATGTCACACATGGGTCATAAACGTCACATATGTTTATAATATATCACATGTAGAAGACACTTATCACATAAACACATATTAACTATAAATATCATAATTAAACAACGAATAGCAGGGACAAATGTCATATATTAATGTGATATATCATATTTAAATGATAATAATCACATATAACAAGATAATATCACATACAAACTACAAATAAATAGCAAACTTAAACAATACAAATTAGATACAAATGTCACATATAAGTATCATATATCACATGTAAAAGGTAATGATCACAGATAAGGTGCAAATGCAACATATTACTTACAAATAACACATATAACTCACCGATAGCAAGGGAACGCAGCCGCTAAGATATGTCTGCCTCTTCTTCGCTATCTTCGCAGCCTTGAAAGAGTCCCACAATTCCTTGTAGATGATCGTCGCCCATGGGAAATGATCAACCATATCTATTTGAGCCATATATTTGAACATATGTCGCGGTGCATTCATTCTCGCGGTCGGAGTTCATATCATCATGAGTTGATAGAGGATTTGAAGCATAACAAAATCTGAAACATCCGTCCTGTTTTTTGACTGAACCAATTTTTCCAATTGGGTCTCAAGGTAGTCTCAGCCACTCTTGTATTGCGATTGTTGCTTGTTGTTGAAGTATGTGGTCCATATCCTATTCTCCATATTGCGATTGCCTTCGGGTTTCTCCCCTTCATCAATAAACCGGGTATGTTTAAGCACCCAATTTACATCAAACGTGTATGCTTGTTTAGTCCCAATTTGGCTATCCTTGAAAAAAAACTTTCCCGTGACTAAATCCAGATGATCTAGCAGCAACATGATCGTGGCCTTGTCCGATGGAATTGCTCCAAAACTAACATAGTTTTTGAAATTAGAGGATCCATAAGCCTTCCAATGTTCAACCCTCATACGTGGAACAATTCCACCATGAATTGACAATATCCACGTATATTGTAACAAATTCTGATATCATTCTTACTGTAAAACACAACACAAGAGATACTACATCAACTTAGGGTTCTAATGGAGATAAATTCACAATGTAAAACTAATTAAATCAACAAATGTGAATAATTGGGTTGATACTTACATCTCAGGCTTTATTGTAGCTGATTTAGACGACTGAGATGTCAACATCGACATCATGTATTTTTAGCAGTGAGTGTCACTGTTCGGTGAAGAAGAGGGACTCCAGCGACAGCTTGCGGTACGGGGGGGGGGGGGGGGTGGCGGACGAGAGTCGACGAAACGGTTCAAAGGTGAAGTCGCTGAAGATGAATACGAAGACGACGAGCAGCGGCGGTCTTGAGAGGAAGATGGTTTTCGAAGAAAGACGACGAGTGCGGCGGGTCTTCGATGAAGAAAGAAGAACGAAGTCGACGAAGACGGTTTCAAAGGTGAGTTGCCGAAGACGAAAGACGAAGACATGAGCGGCGGCGTCTTGAGAGGAAGAGGGTTTCAAAGACGACGACAGAGCGGGCGGCAGTCTTCGACGAAGACAACGAAGACAAAGTCGACGAAGACGATTCAAAGAGTTGTCGGCGGCGGCGTCTTGAGAGGAAGAGGGTTTCGAAGGGAAGAGGGTGGTTGGCAGATGGTTTCGGTAACAACGCTTAAAAAGGATGGTGGTATAAATTGGGACGGGTAATTTGGCGATATTTTTTTGGGTAGTGTGTCTGTACTCTGTTTGGGGGCTTGTTGTATTTTTTTTTCGGTATAAGGGCTTTTTGTTTATGGTTCTTGGGCTTGAGGCGGGGATGCATGACCCAATTAAATTTGGTTCCTCCAAGCAATTTTCCCTTTATTTTATTTTGTTTTTGCTTTTTCAAAGCAATTGTGTATAGTGTTGAGTTGAACTAAACTAATTTTGATATTATTAATCCGTAGATACTATCAACCCAATTTTAAAATTCAGAACTCCGAAATAAACATCCAAAATGGTAGATATGATCTACAGCATATGAACTATCTAGAAATAAAGTTCAAAAATATTTCAACATCATTAACTCATGTATAGCATATGCCGTTAATATCAACATTTCAGAATTTTTATAAAGTTGCTTAATTTTCACCTCTTGACATATGATTCAAAACACATCGAAATCCTTTGAAAGTTTGTTTTTCTAAGTAGTTTCATGTTTGGGTTTCAAATTTTAAAATTGGATTGATAATATCTATTTGTTGGATACTATCAATAATAGCATAGCTTTGCTCATTAGTGTTACACATCTGTGTACTCAATTTTAAACATTTTTTTAAAGTTTTGTAAATGTTAGAATCAATCTGTCAAAAATCGGATAAGAAGGATATATTAAACAGATTGGACAAAGATTAAGAACTAATAAACAAATATGTTAGCATGAAGTTTGATAGAAGAAGATTGATAAAAGAGTTGTGTTTGCGTGTAACCTGTAGCTAAGTTTAATCTGTAGTCCAAAGAAAAAGAACAACAACTCATTTTTCATGCGATCACAATTTAACATACAAATCCATTTCATTAAAAGTTTTAAGTTTTCTATCCATACTTCATCCGAACTTAAAAGTAAAACTGTCTATAATACAATACTAGCATTATGACACGTGTAAATGTACGTGTAATAGAGACGAAAACTTACTATTCTTTCTTATAAAAATTTACTTGGATATTTATAAGTTTTACTTTATCTTTTCATTGATTTTAGCATGCTTGAAGTTTAATTTTATTCACAAATATTTTCCTGTACGTTTGCGTCTACGAATGAAGTTACTCGGCTATGACAATCTAACATCTTATTGTACTAAATATCGACTAGAAGTACTATGTTTCAAAGAACAAAGAGTCATATTTGCATCAAAGAGTCATATTTGCTATTTTTAACATTGGATCTGTTTCATGTTTCAAAGAACAAAGATTGTTTTTCTAATGGTCTAAGAATTTCTAAAACTTAATTCAAATCGATAAGAGGTCAGAGGACTAATAACATCAGTAGTTTTATCAAATTTAATTGCTAAGAATGTATATATAACTTTCCACTTGTGATACACACACACATACATATACATATATATATTGGAGGAAGTTTACATTTAGTTCATCTTACTTTATTTATACATTTTAACATTTACAAAACGCACCCCTTCAGAAAACTTACAAATATTACATTGAAAAGGGCTTTTACGAAAACTCGCACAACACAAAGCGAAATGCACTGACAATGGACCTGATGTGACTTCTGCTCGGTGCCACCTTGGAAAAGCAATCCTCGCGCACGAGTACGATATGCGGTTGTTCCCTTCTCCACCATTCATCCATTTTTGTTGGTACCCTCACTTATTTATAATGTAGTATAGTATCTCGATTATTAGGGTAAACTTACACTGAAAAATAACGTATGCCATTCTAAACATAAGAAAACAAATGAAACAAACACCACCATTGCCCCAGAAGGAGAAGGAAAAAAAAGGAAAAGAAATCCGTCACCACAATAATTCACCTGCAGCAACAATATCAGCGGTAAAGAGCCATATATATGATAAGCCAAAGCATCCAAAACATGTATATTTAGAATTTGCTCAGGCAGCTTTTCCACAAAAAGAGAAGGGGCAATAGTAGAAACCCAGTTTGTGCTTAGTTACATTCCATCAACAAACATCACCGAGTCTCCTTAAGTCAGACAAAACACCAGAACATGAATGTGTGCACACACATACAAGCATCGATATACTCCCGTGCAAAACTTCAAACTATTCCCCAAAAAGCCAGAGAAAGGCACCTCCATTATGCACCAGCCCAAAAAATCATCCATTAACCTGCAATTTGGCACAAGTCACAGTATAACTCAAAAATTCCATGCTATAATCCATTCATATAAGTCACGACTTTCCTGACCAACGGTTAACTCACATTTCAAAATACACACTTCAGAAATTTCCAGGTTATGCATAATATTTGTAAACCTCAAAATCAGTAAAAAATGACAATGATTCGACACAAAAGTCACGGTTCATAATGAGTTCATGCTTCGCTACACAATGCCTAGCTCGCATTTCACAGTACACAATTCACAACTTTTCAGTTCTATGAAAAAAATTCCTGAACCCTCAAAATCAGTCAAAATGACAATGATCAGGCATTAGTTAAAACGAAATATACTTTGCTAGGTTAGGACCACTGGAATAACAAAATTCAGGCATAAAAATCCCTGAAATTGGATATAGGATTTTCAAATTAGATTAATTTTTAAGTCCAAGTAAAGAAAAACAAAAATACATTTAACTTTAACAAAAACAACCCAATGACAAATTCCCAATTTTCAGCATTTGAAACTTCAATCTGTACCTAGGTCCATAAACAAACAGGCAACATTGTGAATTTTTCGGTTCAATGAACAAACATGGAAACACCAATTAAACATAGAGAAAAATCTTGCTTTAAATGGGATATAGGGTTATTTTAAGTGGGAATCTTGAATCGCTCCCCTGTAGCTTCTTCCTGTTGAAGTATATCCTCAGTTCACCAGTCTACTATCAACCAACCCTTACCCAACCATACACGACAGAGGGAGAGACTGACATGACACACTGACTAGTGAAGAACTTGTACAGAACATCATGCATATAATTAATGTTTCAACTGCACAAAAAACAGTGGAAAACATATCATAACTACAAACTAGCATTCACCAATTGTTCAGTGGAACTTCAAAGATCACATAAATAGAGAAACATGAAACTATCTGAGGCTTTTCTATCAGAAAATGCAACAATGAGATTCTTCATCCCATAGTCATTCTGAAAATAGTTATTCACACCTTACCTGAAAGACTGAAACAAGTTCTACAAAAACTTTTCAAAATGGGTCATCATAGATACATATAAACTAAGATATTCTCATCTATGGCAAGGTAATAGCCCCTCATCACCCTCAAAACTATAAAAGGAAAAATGAAAAGAAGGTCGAGACAAAACTGAATAGGGTTCTGACCACCACATGGAGGAAGAGACAGGTGTGGGTGCAAGTGCCCGAGTCTCCTTCATCAAGACTTAATTTGTTCCAATACACAAATTCGTAAATTTAGTTTTGATGTAATTATAAAAGAGTAGAAAAATCTTTATTCAATTTTAGTATCTCATATTACTCCCAGGTTCGTCACAAAACTAGATTACATGAGGAATTATCTTTAAAATCTTTAACTCAAAGTTCAAGACAAATCTCTGTTTGTAGTGAAATAGATGATCAATCAATGACGCTCACGCTTCAATCTTGAGTCAATCAGTCAATGATCTTGATAGTTTCTCTCACCTTAGGATTTCATAAGCTAGTTCAATTATAGATGGCTTTCCTAACTAAGATGGTAAATGAGGAGTCAAGGAGGGCGGTAGGGCAGGAAGGAGGGAGAGAGCGTGAATCTTCTTGTATGGAAGAATCGCAATGGTTTTATTCTGGTCAATACTTCCAGTATGATGAGTATTTACTTAGAAACTCAATCTCCATGTCTTTCACTTTCACTAAACGTAGTCGTCAACAAGAAACCTAGTTAGATGGCATCTCCCTCAACTTAGGATTTCAGACGCTAGTTCAATTATAGATGGCTTTCCTAACTAAGATAGTGAATGAGGACGCAGGGAGGGCGGGAGGAACCAAGCGTGAATCTTCTTGCATGGAACAATCTCAATGATTGTAGACTGGTCAATGATTCCCATAACAATGAGTATTTACATAGAAACTCAATCTCCACGTCTTTCACTTTCTCTAACTATAGTTGTCAACAAGAAACCCAATTGATGGCGTCTCATGTATCTCACCCATGCTTACTTGTTGGATCAACGAAATCCCACTAGCCACAGCCCACGGGCATATCTTAATAGTACAGTTTGGGTTCAGATTCCTAATGAGGCTGCTGACTATCTAACATTTCCCACACACAAATTACAAGGAGTAATTTATAATAACAAATTTAAATGCTATTAGAAGAATCAAATTCATTAATTAAATGAAAGCATATCTTTAAACAAATAAAAATGTTTGTTTAATCAAATTCATATTTCTATTAATTTAATTTATTATATTTTGATATTCAATAATTATTTGGCAGATATTATTTGTAATTGAATTTTGATTTGGAGAATTTTAGAGAGAAAAAAACATGAATTTGAATTTGGATTCAAAGATGTTAAACATATACAAATGATTCATTTCCAGTCCTACTAACAAGGTAGCAAATCCCAATCATTCTAAGGGATTCATTGTTTATACTGATTAGTTAATAACTTAATACAATAATGTTATTTACTCCTATAGCATGAATAAATTGGAACCATAAAGAAAATTAACTAGTGTTCTCCTACAACTCTTCTTTTTTGACACAATACCCCTTGATGAGATGATGAATACTTTCCAAAAATAAATAATTTGAAGCAATATTAAATCATCACCCTCATAAAAAGTAAATCTAAGGAGCGAATCATTATGTCAACATTAAAAACAACTGCCTAAGGTTACTATAGGGCATTCCGTTAAGGGAATAGCTCACAAGAAATCCAACTATGCTAGCTAGAGTCTGTTGGTCACACAATATGGCAGGTAGTGGTAAGGCTGGGCAAATTTTGGTTCAAACCAATCAAGCTAGCTGAACCACCGGATCTTCAACCGTTCGATGCAATTTTTATGATGACTTTGGTTCTAGTCGGTTTAAGCTTTGTAACATCGGTATCCACCAAACCGACCGACATATAACCACTTCAAATGCATATATACATTAATGATGCCCATTTTGGAGGATATTGGAAAGCTTCCAAAGTTCAAGGCTGTAATAGAAAAGGCGAGGAATCTCACCGTGTTTTCTACTTGCATCATAGTACTCTTGCTTTGTTGTGCAAGTTTACAAATAGGAAGGAGCTTGTTCATTCGAAAGTTCCTGAAATTACACGATTTGCTACTTCCTTAGCCTTCTAGTGGAGAAGAAGCCGCAATTAGCCGGTATGATCTCTTCACCTGAATGAGGAGAACAGATGGACCAAGACAGTGAAAGGACTAACTACCAAGTCTATAGTCTAGTCCAATGTTTTCTAGAAGGACACACGGTTCAACAGCCATAACAAAGTTTCTATTCCAAACGTTTGGGGTTGGCTCTGGAAGGAAACACAGTTGTTGACCGAAATTTACGCTCCGTTTTCACGGAGGATTCTTGATGCGGAGAAAAGGTCTTTCATGGGTTTTGTTTATAGTATGCTAAAGGATGCGAAAAATGAGATAAAATCTGCTAGTAACAGGAAGGAGAGTGTACATTGACCAATTGTTGAGATTATTGAGAAGCATATAGCAAGGGAGGGAAACAATCCATTACATTTGGTAGTTTACTTTTTGAATCCCTCTTACTACTATAAGGATAAGACAGCTCACGAGACTAGAGCCACTAAGAGTCCTAGTTACCATTGCCTTAATGTTTTCTTCCTAGGGATGGATGAGGTGCAAAACCAGATTAAACAATTAAGTTTTGTTTTAAATATTCCCAACATAGCCGAATTATCAGGTCGATATATCCTTTTATAATGTTTTCCACAAAATGATATAGTCCCAATATCCTTTTATCGCTTTTGGCAATCTTTGGGTGATGCATACCCGAGATAGCCAATTTATCAGCTGATATATTGACCAATATATCCTTTTATATGACTTGTTGCAAAACAATACATTGTTTTTGGCAATTTTTGGGTGATATATCATGATTTTCCCGATATATCAAGTGACATTTCAGCCTCAAATGGTTGGCCAAAATGTTCCAATGTCGATTTGGACTTTTATTTGTTTTAAAAGATTGGTTAATTATCCTAAACATATATTATTTACATATTTGTATATGCTCACATTTCATGAGAAATGTTTTAGATAACATTTTAGAACATTATTTTATAAACGCACTCATCCGATACGACACTAACATTTACTACATATCCTCAATATTTATCAATATCTGCACTCCCATATGGATTTTGAGCATCTAATATTTTCCCGATATTTGATATTTAAACCTTAAGAAGAAATGTTACAGTGCAATATTTGTTGAGAAGATACTATATAAGTTACAACTATACTGATTATTTTGATCCGATTATAAATAACTTTTGTTTTAAGTAGTTCTAATCTTCTCGTAGATTATTAGTCAATTAATGTGCTACTTGCTAAATATATACTTGTTTCAAATTAATAGCACATTGGTGGGATAGCGTTGGAGAAAACGCACCTCATTTGAGAAAGATGCCCATAAAGAGCCAAAGATATTTAGTAAGACTAGCAGTTCCTTAGGTTGTAAGAGAAATTGGTGTGTTTTTTAGACGCTAATAGTCTCTTTCTCATCTAATTAGTAACAACTAGCAAGATCCATGATTTCCAATTTTATCTTCATTTGTAAAATATGCAGACAAATACAAAAAAGAGGAGCCAGCTAGACCCAAAAGACTAAATGATCTTGCATTTGTGTAGTTCAATAAAGAGATCATATAGAAAAGAGAAGAAAGAGCAAAGTGGCAAAAGTAAGAATGTGCTCCAAGCTAATGATGATTCTAAAGCGTTGCACTGAAAATTGGGTATTGTTAAGGAGAGGGAGAATGAAGAAGAAGAAAAGATCTATATGGGTAGCAGGCTTTTATGGGTGATTGTTGCAAATGCTAGTGGAGGCAAATGAAGACCCATGAAGGAGACACAACGCAATGAGGCATGCTACAAGGGCAATAATATAGCAGGAGAGCTCTTCTAGTGCAACAATTGATGAGGACGTGACTAACGAAGGGAGTAATGGAAAGGATGTGGATGAGGAGAGTAATGATGATGATGATTTTGAGGTTCTCTCCGAAGAAGAGTTGGATGCTAACAGCCATTATCAGGATGATGAGGAAGACTAGATGCATTGTTATTAGTTTATGAACTTTTAGTTTAGTTTGTGTTTAATTAACTTTTATTTTAGTACCTAGCTAATTTTGATGTATGGATTGAATATTTAAGTAGTTATCTAGTTATTGATTGTTCAATTGAATGTTTGTTGGCATTTTTGTAGTATATGTTCTATTGTTCATGAATTTATACATTTTAATGTATGATAATAATAAACATATGTTAAAAAAAATTCAAGAATGCATAATTCTGCATCATACCATTAATCAGCGCATAACCTGATTAATCATGACTTGTTCTCTGACCGCACGCATAACAAAATTGTGTTTTTGAACATTGACAGTATTCAACCATAAACTAATTTTCTAGTAACTTTAAAAAGCAATCATTCTTAGAATAGATAAGCTCATTGTAATCTGAATAATTTCTTTAAAAAAACTGAGAGACTAATATAACATATCTTGTAATTAGGTTAATAGAGGATAGACTGTATTATATGAAACTTGAGGATAGACTCTATGCAGTTCTACTAGAGCAATTGGGTTAATTTGAATAGTTTTGTAAAAAAAAAAACTGAGAGACCAATATGACATATATAGCATGTGGGTTAATTGCGGATAAAGACCCTATACTATAGCACAATTATGGATAGGCCCCCTACAATTCTATTGGTGCGGATAGAAACCTTGAGTGAACTTTTTTGACTCTTTTAATAGTAAAAAAAATCATAGGGGAGAATCCGCACTTAGGCAAATAGTACAAAGGGTCTACCCACACCACTAGGACTACAGGGTGTCTATCAACAATTAGGCAACGGCTGGGGCCTATCCACAAACAATTAACCCATCACAATTTGTCACCTAAACTTAATTAATATTCTATCAAAAGCTTATTCAATGAGCAACATATGATTTATAATAATTTTTTATGAATCAAAGGGTACTAGAAAAAAATAGGACAATTAAGTGAAAATATTTTGTTGTCTTTGTACTGTTATTTCTTTGCTAAACTATGGCTCTTGGTGTTTCCTACTTGTGTAGTAATGTATCATGTTGAAGTTGGTGTAGTTTTAGATATTGCATACTTTGTATAATGGTCAGTACAAATTTCACTCATACGCTACCAAAGATGTATAGGAAGATTGTTCACAAAGATTAAATGTCTTAACACCTATTGTGCCACATTTTTATTCCCTTCACATTTTTGTAACGGCGATCGTTTCTCCACCGTGGTGGCGTTGTCATCTCTAGGGAAGTTCATCATGTCTGATTTCGTCCTCGAGGGATGACGACGATGGCGACGAAGAAAAATAGGGCTTCTTGTTATGGGGACCATCGGCCCTTGGGTTAGGTGTTCTTCCTACTCCTTTGTAAGCTAATTGGCCCAAATCAATGTGCCCAAAGTTTCAATAGGTTCGATGAGTAAGGGAGGAGGATAAATTTACTAGAGATACGAACCGTCCAAGATCTTCAGGTTAAGGGATCCCTTTTGGTCCTTACGTTTACATTTTAGCCCGAAGGAACATTGTGTTTAATTTTATTTTATTTTGTTTTTCTTTTACAAAGCAATTGTGTATAGTGTTGAGTTGAGCTAAACTAATTTTGATATTATTAATACGTAGATACTATCAACCCAATTTTAAAATTCGGAACTTCGAAATAAACATCCAAAATGGTAGATATGATCACAGCATATGAACTATCTAGAAATAAAGTTCAAAAAGATTTCAACATCATTAACTCATGTATAGCATATGCCGTTAAAATCAACATTTCAGAAATTTTATAAAGTTGCTTAATTTTCACCTCTTGACATATGATTCAATACACATCGAAATCCTTTGAAAGTTTGTTTTTCTAAGTAGTTTCATGTTGGGTTTCAAATTTTATAATTGGATTGATAATATCTATTTGTTGGATACTATCAATAATAGCATAGCTCTACTCATTAGTGTTAAACATCTGTGTACTCAATTTTAAACAATTTTTTTAAGTTTTGTAAATATTAGAATCAATCTGTCAAAAATTGAATAAGAAGGATATATTAAATAGATTGGACAAAGATTAAGAACTAATAAACAAATATGTTAGCATGAAGTTTGATAAAAGAAGATTGATAAAAGAGTTGCGTATGCGTGTAACCTGTAGCTAAGTTAAATTTGTAGTCCAAAGAAAAAGAAGAACAACTAATTTTTCATGCAATCACAATTTAACATACAAATCCATTTCATTAAAATTTGTAAGTTTTCTATTCATATTTCATCCGAACTTAAAAGTAAAACTGTCTATAATACAATACTAGCATTATGACATGTGCAAATGTACGTGTAATAGAGACGAAAACTTACTAATTCTTATAAAAATTTACTTGGATAAGTTTTACTTTATCTTTTCATTGATTTTAGCATGCTTGAAGTTTAATTTTATTCAAAAATATTTTCCTGTACATTTGCTTCTACGAATGAAGTTACTCGATTATGACAATCTAACATCTTATTGTACTAAATATCGACTAAAAGTACTATGTAGAGTAAGTTTTCCACAATAAAAAATATATATAAATAGATTTAAGGAATTTGCATCAAAGAGTCATATTTTGCTAGACTTGCCATTACTCATTAACAAATTTGAAATTTGAAATATATCTAATCACCTTAGTATTCTTCCTGTCCAAGCAAGTTTCAATGCTGCTTTTCCATGTAGCCCAAAAGTACTACTAAAGGAGAATATAAATATAAAACTACATTAAGTTGACATTAATCTATGTGTGCGGGTTGGGTGGGTGTGCAGGCATGGAATGTGCATGGGGTCATGAAGGCAGGCCGGCATGACTACGTTCATGTGCACGCACGTTTAGGGGTATGTGTGTGTAGATCACGCACAACCTAATAACGTAAGCTTTACCATTATTAACTAATTTCTTACAATTATCTACTTCAGCTTCAAGCATCAATGGTTGCCAGTTAAATAGCTAATTTGCTGCTCTAATGTTTGCCAATTCCATAGATACCAAGGTTTTTAAATATCAGATATTGGGGAAATATCGGATGGCCAAAATTCATATCGGATTGCGGATATCGAGAAAATATCGGGGATATGTGGTAAATATCGGAATGCCATAATGAATGTTTGCATACATAGTATAATGCATTAAAATGTAATCTCAACATATGTAATAAAATTTAAGCATACAAAATATGAATAATATATGTTTAGGATCATCAACCTTCTAAAACAAATAAAAGTGCAAAACAACGTTGCAACATTCGATCTGCTTTTTTTAGGGCAAAATGTCATTTGATATAATGAGGAAATCTTGATATCTCGCCCAAAAATTCCAAACACAGTATATTATTTTGCAACAAGCTATATAAAAAGATATATTGGTCCACATATCGGCTAATATATCGGCCATATCGGGGATTTATCACTCAAAATAACCAAAAAGCGATAAAGGATATTTAAAGACCATATCGGTTGCGGCAAGCCCTGTAAAAGGATATATCGGATGATATATCGGGCCATGTCGGGGATATTTAAAACAATGATAGATACATCCTAACTAGTTAAAGGTTGAAGCTTCATCTTCTAACAATATGATCTGCTCAAACAACTTCAACATATCATTTTGACAAGATATAAAACGCAATTGCATTAACATTTTTTCTATTTGCATCTATGAGCACTTTGTTATTGAAGAAAACATTTCTACCTTTTTCTCTTCATTATAATTTTTAAACAGAACAATCAAAAATATCCATGCAAGTTTAAACAACATCTAAGACAATTTAAATTTTTGATGCTATGCGCTTACAAACAGATAATAATTAATAACATAATAGCTTTTGGGGTATTTTGACACAAATTTGGTTTATAAAATAACTGCATTATAAGAGAAAGACGAGTGTAAAGATTACAGAATTTGGTGAAGAAAGATCTATCATCCAAACAATCAGTATTTCATCTTTTTCACAATACCTTCCACATCAAAACGCATTCATAATATACATGTGTTCTTTGCACTTCAATACCCAAAGTTTCACCCTCTTTTAATTTTGACACCTGAAATTCTACTTTAATGATTTGATGCTCCAAAGTGCAAAAACATTGACGTTAATTTTAATCAAGAATATCAACATAGAAAAGTGAGGAACAAAGCTAAGGCTTTGAGTTTGGGGAAAGTGAGGAACAAAGTTAAGGCTTATGGGTATCGAATAGTCAAATTATCATCAACTTGATGGGGTAGCAAAATTAAAAAAAAGGATGAACCTTGTGGCATCAAATTGGAAAAATAGAATTTAATCAAAATTGAAAAAGAATGAACCTTTACAATATCAGATAGTCAAAATAGAACCTCAGGGTACCAAAATTAAAAGAGGATGAAACTTTGGGGTACCAAATTGCCAATGTAGGACTTCAGGGTACCAAAATAAAGAACAGGACAAAGCTTTTGGGTATTAAAGTGTTAAATAAGCCTAAACATAACCACATAAAAGATATTTATACAAAAAGATGGATCTATGCTTCTCTTCTAATATTTTCCTTTCGTGCAGGATTATCAGAATTAACCTAGATAAACATCAGCATGCACTAATAAATCACATTGGTCTCATGCAAAACAAGAGGCCACTGCAAAACAATTTAAAGTTTACTTAATCATACCTAATCATCATCTACGCGCTTTCTCTTTAGCCCACCAAGCAGGGTGCTGCAAATCTCCAAGTACAGCTCATGTGATTGAGCTTCAATCTTCAACCCCTCTTCAAAATGCGCCATCCATTTCTTCTCTAAAGCCGCCGCCTTCGATCTGTCCAAAAACTTCAAGCCCACCTCCAATGTTGCAATCGGAAGCCCTAGCTGCTCCCAATATTTTCTAGCCTGTCCACTCAAGTACATAAAATAACCATCAGCGACATCCTCATTCTCCTCCTCGTCGTCCTCCTCCACCTCCTCCTCATTCTCGTCCTCCTCCTCATCACCGTCATGGACATCATCTGCATCATCGCCAGCATCAGCGGCATTAGTAACAACATCCGTCACCGCCTTCTTCGTCTCGGTCGTCTTCTTCTTCTTCTTCGTCCCCGCCTCCTCCTTGTCCCAAGCCCTAGCCGAGAGATCGAAGAACGCCCGGTCAAAGTCAGTGGGGCCCACTCCGTCCTTGCAGGCCCTACGATACTTCTCCTTCAGAGACCGGAACCGACTATAGAGGTGGTCAACAGAGCGGAGCTCCTCGTGGAGAGAGCCCTTGAGGGATCTGAAGACGGGATCCATGGTGGTCGGGGTCGGGATGCTCCCACCGTTCTTGGCTCTGAACTCGATCACCGCCTTTAGGATCTTGATCGCGTCCTCTTGGGCGTTTTCGTCGGACTTGGCCTTGGCTCCGGCGGCGCCGGCGGCTTGCGCTTGGGCGGATGCTGGTGGTTCTGGAGACATTTCGCTGGCCTTGGCTTTTGGACATCGGATGGGAGGTGGAATGAGGTGGAATTGGAGGAGTTAGGGTTTTAGTTTTTAGGGCTTTTGGATTTAGGCCGTGCCGTGTCCATGACTGAAATGGGCGAGATAAAGGACTGAGTTAATTAAAGGGGTGAGCATAGTTCGGTTCAAACCGAACAAACCCACCGAAATTTGATCATTTTTTATTAGAATTCGGTTCGGGTTGGGTTTGAAGCTTTTTCAACCCGAACCAATCGAACCGATCGAATTGTATTACTTATTCTAATTACTATTTGTATCTGCTTAAACTCAACTCATTATAGTTCATATAGAGTTAATTCGCTGCAGCTTGATATCTTTTTTTTTCACGCTACTTAATAGCGATAAAATACTCCAACAACGGTGTCCTCTCCAATTCTAGGGCTTCTCATTATTTCTAGTTCTCTATCCTCGCTATTACATATTCGCTTTTTCTACTTTGGACCAATCCACTTTGGAGGTAAGAAACTTAAACCATAATGTTTATTCTAACCTTTTTCCTAATTTTTCTCCTCGATTGATATATTTTTGGATCAAACTTCTCTTTGGATCGGACTTATAATTTTATAGAAACTATATCAACATCCAAGTTATTACATATTTTTTTATTTACTTTGTCTATCAGATTGAGATCACTTTAATTCTTTATGTAAGTTTTCTCTAAAAAATTTATGTAATCTTTGGTAGGAATTAGATTTTGATTTCTACATCTAATATTCGGTAGCATTTAATAGTTTATAAATTTCAATAAATTAAAGTGTAAGAGACTTATTTCTTCGTCAACAGAGTAGAGGTGAAATTAAATTTAGACATAACATTTGTACCCAAGTAAAAACCGAACAAACCGACCCGAACCGTACCGAACCGACTTGAATCGCTTTGCTTCGGTTTTGAATGATAGGCTGTTCAGTTCGGTTTGGTCAAATTTAGCCAAAAACCGGACCGACCAACCGATTGCACAACCCTATAAGTTATTATATTAGTACTAGTTTCAGACCTATCCGATGCACAGTGTTATTTAGTATTGAGCTTATTAATTTTAAATTTAAAAAAAAAAAAAGTGTCACTAATTTTTAAAATTATATGTTACAAAAAGGGAAAAAAAATGAAATCGCAGATATCCATAATTCAATGAAAGAAATATATCATTGAATTAATAGTGCATTATGGTGCAAGTCTTATATGTTTTTGTTTTTTTACTCGTGTGTTGCATATACAATGTCGTCATAATTGTAACACTATAAAATTATGATTTAAGTAATTGTTCTTTTGGTTCAACTTTAGAAGTTGTAATATATAAATTAAAAATACCACTATTTAGCGTTAGGGAACCAGTTTTATGGAGAAAAATGTTTAAGGAACCAGTAAAATAATAATATTGTAGCATGTCTTCAAATCATATTTCTGGGATGAATCGAATCAAAATTTTTGGATGAGATACACTAATTGCAAATACTCAATACAAACAGATGTGTAGGCGTGTCCATCCAGGTCCTGGCCGGGCAAAACCGGAGCCCGGACCCTAGCTCGGTTGCCCTAGGCCGGGTCCGGCCCGGCCCGGTTTTTTATTTTATTTTTTATTTTTTTAAAATCTCTTTAAAACTCTAATTTTACATAAAAAAATTACACAAAATTTTAATAAAAAAGAATAATATTATTAATCACTTGAAATTACATAAATTATAAATACAAAAAATTATAAAAAAGACAGATGATAAAAATAACTTCTTTATTAATAATCAGTAAATCCTTTACAAGTATAAATTTATTTCGGAATTCGTCGCATCACAATAAATGAGTACATCCCAACTAGGTTGACACCTACTCACTTATATTACTATCATTTGTAACAGTTTCTAAAATAATTTATTACAAAATTTAACTAAGAAATAAAAATTACAATTTGATGAAATTATTTAATTTTTATATCTATCTGCTAGTCCTAATTCTTCAAATTTATCGATGTCTTGCGTTCTCTTCTCGTACCTCCACTAATCTTATAAGCACATCACCATCTGTACAGTATACGGATCTAATGATGTCCTGTGGTAGTCGATCAAACGTGCTGCTGTGCTGAAGGTGGATTCCGAAGCTACCGTCATAACATGCACTGTTAATAAGTCACGAATCATGGTGGAAAGTATAGGATATGAAAACCCCCTCTATTTATAGAGGCAGCCCCTAGACAAATGACCAAAATATCATCACCGTATGATTATTTTTAGGGGCAAAAACGTGTCAAAACAGCCATTTTGACCGTTACGGCCTAGACGGCGCCGCCAAAACGGTCATAATTTTGTGACCGTTGGGCAAAAACAGTCACATTCTGTGACCGTTTATGTCAGCCGGGCCGGGCCACACCCGGCCCAGCCTCGCCTGGCCCCGCTTTTCCTGCAACGGCTCACCTTAGGTGATTGTTGCGCACCGGACCGGCATCGCGCCGGGCCACCGGCCCGGCTTATTTTGCCCGGACGATTTTCTCGTCCGGTCGTGTCGGGCGTCGATGGCGGCGGCCCGTACCCGGGCCCCGGAACACCGGTCTAGTCCGGGTTTCCGAGCTAATCCCGAGCTGGGCCCGGCCGACGGGTCATGTTTGGCCTTCTTGTTTTGATGATGATTTACAAACAATTACTACTAATGTGTTTGTCTAGTGTTTGTGCATTCCTATGTATTGTAGACAAACAACGTTGTTGGAGGATGGATGGATTGCGCCATAACGATAATATCAAATGAAGGTTGGCGGAATTGTGGAGTGAAGCAACGTACAATTCAAGTTAAAGATCAAGTTCAAGCTTCATCTGCAAGTGTACCAAGTCAAGCTTAATTGAAGATCAAGATCAAGCTTGGGTAATTTAGTTTAGGATTTATATTTATGTGTGTTAAGTACGTTAAGCTCAATATCTTATACACACACATTTATTGGTTTCTTCGTATATATATATATATATATATATATATATAATAATATATATATATATATATATATATATAACTATATATATATATATATATATATATATATACATATATATATATATATATATATATATATTAGTTATATAATATACATAAGTTTTGGTTTCTATGCATATATATAGTATATATATTAATACATGTGTTTTGAGTTTTTATGATATATATTATGAAATCATATAATTTCATATTTTCTATTGTGTTTTTTGAAACATTGCATAGAATATGCATTTTGTGAAAATATTGTTTATTAGGTTTATAGACTTCAATATCAGTTTATACATGTTTTACTAAGTCTATCAAACATTTACAAAGTTTCAAAAGTTGTTTATGTCAAAACATCAAAATTCAAGTATCTCATATTTTATGTTTTTCGGACTATTTTTGTAAAATGATGATTTTTTCATTTGCGGAGGTCCTTTTTGATAACCAGTCGTTGTAGCATGTTTATTATCATGTCTACAATCATTCCCAAAGTTTTACATTTTTGGAATTATTTGATATTTTTAAACATGGTTTTAAAAATCAGCAAATCAGCATTTATATATTGTCAGTTTCGGCTCGACCGCACCGGTCGACCGATCATTTGTTTTTTCGTTACGGGCGACAGAGAGTCTGTCGGTCGACCGGTGCGCGTCGACCGAAAGCTCCATCGTCGACCGCACGGTCGACCGACGAAGTTCTCTGCTCATTCTCAGTTTGGGATTGGCCCATCGCGGTCGACGCGAATTTTTTCGGTCGACCGCCGCTCCTTCAGTACTGTTTCCAACGGCTAGTTTTATTACCGTATGTGCGGCCTGGTTTTGGTCTTTTTTTTATTTTTAGGAGTTTGGCTGAAATTTCTAGTGGTATAAATACCCTATTGCTGTTGTTTTTCAACTAATCTAAGAATGTTTTTAAACAAGTTTTTAACACAAGGGTTTAAGTGTGTTTAAGCGGCCTTTGCTTTGTTTGCTTGAAGAAAGTCTGGCTTTCTTACGTAATATATATATATATATATATATATTATATATATATATATATATATATATATATATATATATACTATATATATATATATATATATATATATATAATATATATATATATATATATATATATATTAGTTATATAATATACATAAGTTTTGGTTTCTATGCATATATATAGTATATATATTAATACATGTGTTTTGAGTTTTTATGATATATATTATGAAATCATATAATTTCATATTTTCTATTGTGTTTTTTGAAACATTGCATAGAATATGCATTTTGTGAAAATATTGTTTATTAGGTTTATAGACTTCAATATCAGTTTATACATGTTTTACTAAGTCTATCAAACATTTACAAAGTTTCAAAAGTTGTTTATGTCAAAACATCAAAATTCAAGTATCTCATATTTTATGTTTTTCGGACTATTTTTGTAAAATGATGATTTTTTCATTTGCGGAGGTCCTTTTTGATAACCAGTCGTTGTAGCATGTTTATTATCATGTCTACAATCATTCCCAAAGTTTTACATTTTTGGAATTATTTGATATTTTTAAACATGGTTTTAAAAATCAGCAAATCAGCTTTATATATTGTCAGTTTCGGCTCGACCGCACCGGTCGACCGATCATTTGTTTTTTCGTTACGGGCGACAGAGAGTCTGTCGGTCGACCGGTGCGCGTCGACCGAAAGCTCCATCGTCGACCGCACGGTCGACCGACGAAGTTCTCTGCTCATTCTCAGTTTGGGATTGGCCCATCGCGGTCGACGCGAATTTTTTCGGTCGACCGCCGCTCCTTCAGTACTGTTTCCAACGGCTAGTTTTATTACCGTATGTGCGGCCTGGTTTTGGTCTTTTTTTTATTTTTAGGAGTTTGGCTGAAATTTCTAGTGGGTATAAATACCCTATTGCTGTTGTTTTTCAACTAATCTTAAGAATGTTTTTAAACAAGTTTTAAACAAGGGTTTAAGTGTGTTTAAGGGCTTTGTTTTGTTTGCTTGAAGAAAGTTTTCACAAGTGGAGGAGACTATCTTAT